AAAACCCGCTTTAAAATACCCGTGTTTGCTTATAAAAAAACACCTTTTTTTTTTTTTTTTTTTTTTTTTTGTACAAACTTTAAAATTTGTTAGCTGGCGTAGTCCATTGTAGAGAAATGAACCTATTGCTGGTAGAGTTGATATCCCTCAGGGAAAACTTGCCCTTGCCAGCTAAACTCGTGGTTTTCATCTGGAGGTCCTGAATGCTGCATTTGCCAGGACTGCCGTTGCAGTCCCACTGTAAAGGATCCTCTATGACCGGTTCTCCAAAACCAGATGGATTTCCAGAGCCTGAAGTGGAAAAGATAGATGTCTTTACATGCTTAAAATAATTATTTTTTTGGAAGGTGGAGAGTATATTTCAGCTAATAACATAAGTGATCTTAATTCTTTTGAGCTTAAAGATTTTGTTTGCTTCATCGTCACTTCCAAATATTGCTGAAGTCATCTATTTAAAAAAAAAATCCTTTGAAGGTAAATAACTCACCTTTACAGACACAGAAACCAAGCCTGAGAAAGAAGAAATGATTACTCAAGAGTTCCTTGTACTTTGCCTACACATAATCTCCGTACCTTTATAACGGCAGCACTGGAAAACCAAATAACTAAAAAGGTGGAGTTGTTCTAATGCCAACAAAATATGCTGACGAACAGGTGCGTTGTCTATCTGGCTTTGGTTTTTAGACCTAGTAACAGCTTTTGGGTCTTTTTAGAGATAATTGCATTTCTGCTCCCTTAACTAAGCTAAAGGTTCAGAGATGTGCCATGCTAAAATCCCTTTCTGAATTGTTTTATAGGAGTTTAAATCCCAAGGTCAGGGCTTTAAACCCGTCCTTTGGCGAGGCAGACCTTCCATTTTCTCCCTTCGGTTTGAGGAGGGGAATATATTTAGAGGAAAGAGCGACATCCACGTTCTTTACATCCCCTTACAACTATCTGAAACCAGAGATTTTCAGATCCCAACAAGGGAGAGGGCGACCTCTTTCATGAATGGACCAAAATGGAATGTTTTCATTTCCAATGGGCTTTAAGCCAAGTAAATATTAGTCAATCCAACCTAGTTTTGAAATTAAATTATTCTTATTTGTTGGAGCATTCCAGAGGATGGCTTTGATCTGTCTGTACTTTCACCAAAGGGATATTGGCAGGCTGGCCTCCCGTTTCTAGCCATACGGGATGAAAGAGGGGTTATAATAACCACCTTGTGTGGCAGTGATACTGAACAGATGACATTTTTTGGACAATATTAAATGAATAAAGGTAAACACACTTCAATTAAAATGTTTTTGGAGGCTGAATGCAATAGTGCTGTTGGAAGGTCTTCTGTGTGGGTTGGAGGAATTTGGCTGCATTTGTAACTGATTTTTCTTTAACTCCAAAAACGTTTGAGAGAGAGGAGTTTGTTCTGTGCGTTATTCCCTTTTCAAATAAATACGTTGTTTGACTATAACTTTCAAAAATGACATTAAAATTGGCAGTGGACAACGAAATTGTTAATAACTGGGAGGTAGTGATGTGTGTTGAAGGAGGACGGTCTTATTTAATGCTTTGCTCTTTTCCTTCTGGGCCCTCGGCTCACATCACGCACGGTGAGCTGTACCATGTACACTGAGGGGTAGCTCACAAGACACCTATAAGTAAACTGAAGCACACAGCAGTTAAGTGGCATGTTATTGACCTAGCTGAAGATACTCGGAGACAAATGCAAATTTCAATTAAAGAAAAAAATGAAATGCTCAGTTATCATTTTAAGGCTATTGGGTGTGCCCCTTTCGCCTTTTGCCGGAGGGTCCTCCAGAAGAGGAGGAGGAGGAGGGTGGCACTTAGACACAGCTGAAGAGCCTTTTAAATTGATGTCAGCTGATGATAATTTGTGCTTCCCCTAAACTTAAACATGAACTAAAGTAAACTGAATTAAAATATAAATATAATAATTTTGGTTGGACAGGACTGCTGGAGTTCATCTGGTCTAACTACCCCCCAAAGCACGGCCACTTTCAAAATTAGGTCAGACTGCTCCACACCTAAAGTTCAGGTATCTATATGAGAAGTTCAGCTATCTTTTTTAAGCCCCAGCTTAGATTTCAGGTTATGTGGAACCTTTGATGTTCAGGCTTTTCACATGTATTTACATGTCTTTTGTCAATAACTAAATATACAAAATAGCTTTTGCAATAACGCTGTAAATTAAATTGTTTTTCCTTGATGTGGAAGTGACAGTTTCACATGGACAGAGAGGTGTCTTCTCATATGCATTCTATGTGGATTTGCTTTTCTTTCACAGGAACTGGACTAGCTGTACTTGGTTTGTGAGTTAAATAAAAGAAAAATCTTTTTAGCAGATACCATTTTAAACGATCAGTCCTGTTGATGAGCTGAAACGTCACCTGCATTTTAAGTCCGTTTAAGTGCTTTGTATGTTCATGCCTTAAGGGAGGAACAGTTTGAACAAAGATGGATATAAAAACCAAAGCACAGAGGGTTTGTAAGCTAAAACTTCAGCTTTTGTTTTTTGAACATCCTCTCAAACCTGGATCCATTTGCTTGAAATGGAATATTTAGTTTTCAACTCAGCATGTGAACTGGTCATGCTTGAATTTAAAGCTTGATTTATTTTTTTTGCACCTGTTTTTATTTTAACACTGACTATATACAATATATACTTTTGCTGCATGGTTCCTTTCTCCCCAGCTGGAAGTCTGGTCTGATATTATCATGCGAGACCTTCCTAAAACGTGTATTTGTAACTCTGCAACCCCTGGAAATGTAAAGTAGGCTCACTGCTCCATTTATCTTTTCTGAATTCATGGTTTCCTTTTCTGTGTGTTATAAGACTGACCCATATATTTGTTTTGAAGACCAGGGGCTGGTTGTGTACTGCACTGCAAAACCTTGTTTCTATCAAAACAAGGTGCAACCCTGCCCCTGGCAAGAGGGACCAGACAGGCCAGATCAGAGGAGGAGAACTGGACGTGAACTTGGGAGAAAGAAACTCTGGTGGGGCATAAAAGGAGCTGAGATGAGGGAGAACGGGGCAGACATGAGATGGAGCGTGGGAAACGATGCTGATGCGGCACGGATGTACAGAAGGGCTTGGAAGATTTGGACTTTTCTGCAATAGTTATATTTGACAAAGAGAAGGGATGAACTGAGTGATCTTAAGGAGAAGGTTTTAAATAAAATGACATGTGTATTCTATTGAATATGCAAATTGGAATTACATAATCTGCAAAAATAATAATAATAAAATCTTTTCCAGATTTGCAGCTGTAACCATATGCTCAACGGGGTGGTGGCAGAGAGCTGGCTAATGCAGCTGCAGTGTAAAACTGGGGCATCCAACTGGTTTTGATCTTGATAGAAGAGGGGCAGAAGGTCACATCACAGTCTGTTGTTTTCAGTGTCTCATAGTTTATATAGTTCTTCGTAGTTTATATGAATGTATGGTGAGATCAAATGAACATGCTTCACTTAGTGCTGTAGTAACTGCAAGCCATCCTCTTTCCTTCCTTTCCCTTCCCCATGGAAAACTGAAGTTGGTGGATATCGCTCCTGTTCTTGTCCGTGCAGGTGTATGAATTTCAGGTGTATTTACTGCATCCCGTGCTGGGTTAACTATGATAACCATGTGTGCCCTTTAAGAACATAATTTTTGCTAATAGCAAAGATGAGCAAGATGATAGAATAGACTGAGATACTGAAACAAAGCCTCCCTAACACTAAGCAGGAGTGTTCAGCCAACAGATCACGACAGATTTCTTTTCAGGGCTCGAAAAACTGCTGGTTTTGATAACGTACAGAGCTTTTCACCAAGGCATGAGCTTATAGATGAGTGAGAAGAGCTACTGCTGTCTGTACAGCCACCGTTACTGGTTTTTTTTTTTTTTGTAAGGAAAGTGGAAAAAAATCTCAGTGGATATGAATCTTGGGTATCTTTGAGTGTTTATGGATTGCGGATGAGGGATGTGTTCAGTGATTAAGTCGATTACACTGGAATTATCGACACAGTGGCTAGCTTGGAGAGGGGAAATGTGAATGCTCAAGCAAGAATTAGATAATTTGTTCAAATTTATGAAGACAGAGGCAATTTTAGGCCACTATCCCAATTCTGTTGTTTTATCTATGCATATGTGGGAGGATATGTGTATATATATACGTATGTGTATAAAAAAACCCTTGTGTGGCGTGTGCGTGCGTGTGTGTGTCAGACTTGGTGTTATTTCACCATATTAAGTTGCTATGTTGAATATACCCTTGAGATTTCTACGTATCTCTTCCCAGAGCTGCGCTCAACATACTTTCTAGCTGGTTGGCTGGCTGTGATGCTAAGAGGCATGCTAAGGATGATTTGCATATCTGAAAATTAGGATGGACCCCGAGTCGTGTGAAAGGGGTGTATGAACAGGGAGCAGGAGACTTGTAGGTAGAGAAGTTTTATTTTATACGATGCAGTTCTTGCAAATGTAAAGCTAACCTTTTTTTCTTGTCCTTTTCCCTAGGGTGACTCCGTTATTACAGTGCAGCTGACTGAGGAAGATAAAGTTGAAGATGATGTAGTTTTTTACTTGGTCTTCACTGGGTCAACTGTCCAACACTGCACAAGCACGAGAAAGATTAATCCTGGGAGTCTGGAGACAATTTCTCCTGGTAAACAGTTGCCTTTCTTTGCATATCAGTGTATCAGTCTATGAAATTTGGTTAATTCAAGTGGACCTAAATGTAATGCCGTTTTGTTGGTTGTCTTTTGCCTCATTTACACATTCATAGAGAGTTGAACGCATGGTTTGGATGATTGCTTTTGCCTTTTAAAAATTTCTCGCTTGATTTCACTAGAATTCTGTGACTCTGAGATTGCGATTATTTAATGTGTAACTATGGGATTCTATTGTAGAAAATACACAGTTATATTTACACATAGTTAAAAGCTTTTAAATGCGAGCAAGCTAATGGAGGGCACATTTGCCAGTTTAGAGATCCTGTTGTCCAAATGGTGTACAGCCTGGTAAGTCCTAGCTACACTTAGGATCTGCTTAACTCGGTGAGGTTCATTGCTGTAGTCCTGGTGAAATACAGCCCTTTTCCCCTAAATCCTGCCGTGTAGATCAGAGCCAGCACAGAGTTTCTGAATGCAATGTAGGTGCTTGGTGCCATTCCTCCAGCACAGCTGGTTCAGACGGGGTGGGTTTTCACATTAAAGCCCACCGCCCTTTTTAAGCCTTCGTGCCATTAACAAAACAAAACAAATCAGCACAGCATTTTCCTTTGGTGACTTCAGGACCGTGGGAATGAGCATGTTCCAGGCTGCGGTCCTTACCATTAACCTTTCATTCTGACTTGTTGCTATGCAGCACATTGACACTAGTGTGAGAAAAACGCCTGACATTTTTACTATACACAGTGTAGCTTAAGCAATCAAGTGTGTTTCTTGGGTTTGCCTTTTTGTCTATCTTGTAAGTATTGTTTTATGAGAGATACACGTGAAGTAAAATTTGGGCTAAGGACTTTTTCTGCCTGGGAATGAGTGGCTAGAAGTTGGCCACCGTATTTTTTCATTTCCTTCTCTTTTTGTGCTGTTCGGGTTGTTCAATTGGCTCAGGAAGAGAAGTCTTTTTACGGTTACTGACTACTGGTGCCCTGTGCAATCAATTAGATTAGTGCTTATTTTCTCCCAGAGGAGGGAGAAGAAGGGGTGGCTCCTTCCCTGCTTTTGTGTGGCGGTCAAGGGGCTCTGCCAGCCCCACTTGCAATGACCTCACCTCCCCCTTGGGACCGTGGCTGCGTCGCCAAGAAAGGAACTGAAAAGCTGCGGTGTTCCCCCTTCAGCCCATGCGGGAACTGGCGTACTTGATGGGATTTCCAGGCAGGAGTGATGCTTTCCTATCACCGCTGGCCCTGACGTCCTCGGAGCAGTGCTGGATGCGAGGTGGTACCCGGGGTGATGCTCTGGGCTCTGTCCGTCCTGCCGACCCCAGATAGAACTGAGTCACTGGGGAGGGCTCCCTGGGGCTTATTTTGTTGCTTTTAGTGGGAACTCTGACTTCACTCATGATTCAAAGGGAAAGGAGGGAATTGCTCTCAGTTGTTGCTTTAGTTATAATGGGCTTTTTTTTTTTTTTTTTTTTGACCCAGTAGAGTCATGATCTTGTGGCATGGGATGCTAGATAGGGATGTGTGCTGTCCCAAAATACAGCTTGTATCAGACAAAGATTTAACGGATTTTGGAAAGGTAGTCTCATTCCTGACGTGTAGCACTGTCTGGGGCCGCAGTGCAAGGGAAGAGGTGACATCTCAGATGTAAAGCAACCATTTGGATAACAGCCTCTTCTGTGCTTCATTTTGGAGAAACTACCAGAGAAAAAAGGACTTTAGTGGTGAAGGGTGTGCTGGGGAGAAGCAAAATGGGAAAAAACAGGTTTTTGATACCCTCCGCTGACACCGATGCGTTTGTCCAGTGTTGCTTCAGCACTGACTGCTCTGATTTCAACAAGAGCATGACTTATTTCAGCCAGCCCTTCCTCCTCCTCCTCCTCCTTCCTGTACTCAACAGTGAATCTGTAATCATGTGTTTACACTGTATATTCGGCCAGTTGCCTTGGAGATGGTTGTGGTGACTCAGAGCTGGCGTTATTTGACCTTGCTGCAGGCTAGCCATGAACAAGAGACAGTGTGTGGGAGACCAGCCCTTGTTTAAACATCCAGGCCCCGGCACTTAGCAAGTGCTTTGTAAGGAAACTCTTGCAAACAGCTTTTAGCCAAAATCTTGTCCTTCACTTCCAGCTTTGAGCATCTTCTGTTTGTCCCTGCAATGCAAGACGTGTTGCACATCTCTGGGAGCACGGCTGCTCCTCGGGGATGGCTCAGGTGGATGAAGGAAGGGCTGATTCACTCAAGAGCATACCGAGCCTCTCTGCCTGCCTGCCTTGAACCTCCTCTGCTTCCCTTCTGGGTTTGGAAGCTCTTCCGTCATCCTTGTCCCAGGTCCTCAGAGTTTCATATGGTCCCCAGGAGACTTCAGATGAAGTCCATCAGGGGCTGGGGTGAAAGGGGTAACCATAATTCTGTTAAAGCTAATGTAAAAACAAAACCAGATTTTTAAATTTTTTTTCTTGACTTTGTCAGTAGTTGTGGTGATGTATGGAGGTGTAAAAAACAGAAAGAGAAATGATTTGATTACATTTGCTGCCAACATTAAGTAGAATGTTTTAGCAAAGCTTCCAAAGGAAATCACATTAAAAAAAATCTCAACAACATAAGGTGGTTTGAGATGAGAAATTAAAGAAAATGGAATAGAAATACAAACTCTCAGAATACCTCCTAAATTCTCGTTGTGTGTGAAAATTCTCTATATCCTGAAAGACTTTACCTAAATAAAAGCTTACAACTGCAGAGTCAAATGACTGCTGCATTTTATATAATTACTAGAGCAATCTGCTTGTTTCTTATGCTGTCTTTATCATCAGCCTTAAACATTGAATATATATTGTTAACAGTACTGCTCAAATGTAAGCTTTTATTTCTGTGCATAATAAAAAAAAGGACTTCTGATTGTAAATTTATGGGAGCAGCTTTTTTTACCTTAAGATGTGGCTAAATGTAGATTCAGAAGTCACTCAAAGGATGAAATACTACCTGTATTTTTGCACTTACTCTGAAGGGTGGGATGGGATGGTTATCGTTGCCCCACTATTGACTGTGTTATGAATTCAAGGGAAATCATTTCCCCTTGTAAGAAACAGATTCTCATCTGAGCTGATCTGTCATAACTTGGAAGTATCAAAATAAGCTACTGAGTTACAAGAATTAGGCAGCGGATGATGCTTTGTGTGCTTCCAGTAGCTCTTTTGCCAGCCTAAGGACAAACCAGGTTACATCGTCCAACTAAGCTTCTGTTTGCCTTGGTGAAAAGGTACCAAAGCCTAATTTAACTGTTGCTTTACTGTCACTGTTAAAATGCTTCTATTTCTAAATGGTCTGGTTTAAATTCTCCATAATTGAAGTTTTCCTCGGTACCAGAGGCACTCTGTAGTTCTGCAGACCAATTGATTGAAATTAAACACTGTCTCATCAGACACTTCCCACGTTAAAGTCCATCTGCGTGGCAGGCAGAGATGCCGTGGCACTGGATGTTGTTGCTATAGTTTGGATATCATTAGTTGCATTGGTTGCTGGAGTTTGGGTATTAAGTAAATACCAAAGGTCCGAGCAGGGAAGGATGCGGAGAGATGATATCAGCTCTGCTGCTATGGCTAAACTGTTGTTGCTGCTGAAATTTTACAGTTGGGGATGGATGTGTCCACTTATGCCACAGATGCTCATTCTACTTAGTGTTGGTCATAAACTGAGCTTTTCAGAAAGCCCTTATTACTGTAGTAACTGAGACTGTCATAATCTGTGATATATTTTTTTCTTCCCGACATCTCTGCAGAGTAGGGGGGGTAACTGAGACATTGAATGGCCAAGCAGATTGCACGTGGTAGTGTAGAAAGTCTGTGTTAAAGCGGGGAAGTGAAACTTCATTGCAAGACAGCAGCCTCATCGCCTGCCTCTGCTGCTAGGGCAGCTTTTCCCCTGCTGGAAAAAAAAAACCCTTATAATAAAAAGCCTCAAATCATGATCTGGCAAACAAACCAACAAAAGAAGGAACAACCTCATCCCTGTCCACATGAGTCAAAAGCCCTGACCACAGCCTGCTGTGGACAGCGGAGGCATCTTGGCATCAGGAAGCTCTCGGGCAGATTTGGGGAGAACTTTCTCGCAGGAGAAGGCTCGCAGAGCGAGCTGGTGTGCTGGGAGCTCGAGTGTTTGTGCGGTGCATCTAGTGCACGTTGGGTGCCGTCACGATAATGGCTGCATTACTGGGCACAAATTTTGCTTTGCATTTAAAGACTGGAGTGTAGTATCTGGGAAACGCAGAGGAGCTCAGTGGAGGAAAATAGGGAGAGACAGTCCAGTACTGTAAGTCCAGAGCTGCAGCAGCTCCTAATCATGCAAGTGAAGGGTAAGAAATACTCTGTCTATAAGCTGAGTCACTGAAACAATAAGGAAGGTAATTTTGTGAGATATAATTGCCTTTGTGTGTACTGTTGCAATGTGTTATACCACTCTGAGCCTTTGCTCTGTAATGCCGAAATCACTTTTTCTCGTTGGTTGTTCTCGGAAGGTGCAGGATTCTTGTATGGGTTTCGAAGGGGAGGAGGAGCAAATTTAGAGGCAGAAAAAGGGCCTGAGAGACTGTCTGTCTGCTGTTAGCCGGTTGCCAGCAGGTTCCACGGGGCTGAAACACTCCCGTTTACTCGAAATGCCTTGACTCACAGGGAGCTTTATCTCCATGCTTAAGCTAAGGTGGAGAAGCAGGTTCTGTCTTTTACTTGTTCTTAATTCCTGTAGTTCTTAGATTTTTTTTTTCCTCTACTTTCTTTCTGCTTGTTAAAAGGATAGACTAACATTAATTTCAATTAGCTTGGAAATATCTTCATTTCAAACTTTTATTTTACTGTGAAATCCTTTACATATGTTCTTGTTTTATTCTTTTCTACCACAGACTGTGTTTTCCCCTAGGAAACAACTTTTCATAGAAAAAAGCTATATTTCATGAATTACAATCTTTGTACTGGTAGACCAAAAGGGTAAACAAGTTGCATAACAAA